AGATGTCTGAACATCTGTCCATTTCTCCTTTTCTCCTTTTAATTTTGAGAGAGAAGATACAATATTGGGGTGGCAATATACACAGTGAGGGAGTGGGATGAATGGGCTTTACAGTATCAACAACTTTACCAACAGCTTTGACACTGCTTTTGTTTCTGTTGCCCAACTAGTAATAACTAAATTGCACTGCTGAGTTATTATCCCATTGAAAATTAGCAGGTAAATGAAACTTTCCTTTCAAAATTTCTTGCTCTACAGATAGAAGAATACAGAGGAAAGTTTGGTTGCCATCCTAATGGCATACTGAGTTATTTGAGGGGGAAAGTGATGATAAAGTAGTGCATTATTAAATGAAAATTAATGTTAAACAATAACATGAAGTTCTTTGAATGCTGTCCCTGTGGGTGCTCCACTCCAGGCGCCGGGATGCACCATCACCTGGAGTGGAGCACCAACAGGGACACACATCTCGAAGAACCTCAGTCACTGCAAGGTGAGTAACCTTCTCTTTCCAGTGTCTTGTGTTATGTAGATTTTTTCTAATTTGCTAAATTGCAGTAATTTGGAGGGTAACAGGAAATTTCTGTGCTGAATATTAGCCTAGTGTAAAATATCAGCCTGTTAGAAAAGTGAGAGTTGAGCTTGGATTCTGTGTAGTGAAAGGTGACACGCAGTTTTATAGCGATACTTGAAGTGAAATGTTAGGGGTTTTATTTGCTGGTGTACTGAGTGATCTTTTCGGCCTGTCATACTCTGAGGAATGCTGAGCTGTTTTTCAGCAAGTTAAAATTAGTTTTAATGAGCCAATTTTTCTACATTATGTATGAGCATTTCTCTAGTACTCTTAAGTCATGAGATACTGTACATTAGAGCTCAGAATGAAGAAATGGGCAATAGTTTCTTAGTTACCAACTCAGTAAGGATGACTGACAACTGTCATTAGTGATGAACATTCACTTAGTTTACTATATTTGTTCTATACTTTTGACTTATACTGCTTAACAGAATTTGTTGGTGTATTTCACCTATATTGAATATAATGATTGGATACCTTAATTATGGTGTTTAATTTCTACTTTATTTTTATTTCCTTAAAGGGCCCAATCTGGCACAGGGCTGTGAAAGCCCTTTGAAATTAGTCCTTGTGGGAGTAGTCCTCAATGCTGTAATTACGCTAATTCTCCCATAGAGAATATGTGTTTTTCTTTGTGAGCCTTGAAGATGAAATAAAAGGGGCATGAGGCCTTTTTTTTTTTTTTTGGGGGGGGGGGGGGAGGGAAGAGGTAAGGAGGGTTTCTAAAAATGTAAAAGAGCCTAAAGTAGTTATTTTAAACCTAAAAATGGTTTCTGGGCTGTTTTTAAAAAAACAACAAAAAACTTGTCTTTTCTATAACACTGATTTGGGTACCTAATAAAATTATGTCATCACGAGACTAAAAACTGAGCACTTGAAAGAGGAAGGAATATCTTAATGGGATTGACTATTTAAAATTTATTTCTTGTCTAGCACCTATGTAACTCTCACTGCCCAATCATTGCCTGGGGGAAAGCATATCTTTGTTAAAGATTCAGCACACTTCTCCCTTCTCTAAACCTTGTCTGTATTAGAATTTAAATGAGATGTGCTTGCTAACATTGTGGGTCTAGTGTAAAGTAGGAACGCTGCCTTGAACATGTGTTATTCTGATCAAGTTAAAACCTTAGGAGCTTAGCTTTGAACTCAGACACCTGAGTATGCGTTAGCTAAGTATCCATTGCTTGTCTGTACTAAACTTTTAGAATGTTCCAGTGTATGTCTACATTATAGACTAAATTGTAATGATGATAGGCACACCTGCATTAGCTTAAATTTAGCTAGTGCAGCTAATAGTAGCAATGAGGATGTGACTAACTTGTCTAGGCAGCTAGCCTGCACTTAAATCTGTGCTTTTCCATCTTCACTGCTATTGTTTCCCCTGCTAGCTAGATTAAAACTAATGCAGATATGCCTAAATGCACTATAGTTACACCTGAATTTGCAATGCAGATGTACCATCAGCCTTTTATCCTAGTGTAGATAAGGCCTCAGAGTGCCCATGCATGTACTTGAGGTACCACCCCATCCCCAAGAAGTCTTTCAACAAAACTAGGGAAGATCAGAATTCAATACTGCTGATATTTCTAAGGTAAAGAAACAAGCAGGACAAAAAACATGCAAACTCTTTCTGTAAATCATGGGGGGAAATCATTTGTGGCTCATCTTTAAAGAATAGCATAGTTTTAGGAATAAATGCAGGGATTTATGATGCTATATTTGAGCTTATGTTGATGTTTTCATTAGAAATTTTTTTTTTTAGAGTCTGTTACTCTGCCAATATTTTTTAAGAAACTTGGTATTTATACTGTAAGACCAGGAATAATTGTTAGTCTTAAGTTATTTATTTTACTGTATTTAGCAAGTTATTAGAAGCTTTAAAGTGAAGAGATATTGGGACCTGGAAACTGGCCTTCCCCCACCTATCCTTTCACACAGGAGTATTCTCCATGACACAGCCCTCTGAACTGATAAACTAATTACTAATTAATTTCAGAGTAACAGCCGTGGTAGTCTGTATTTGCAAAAAGAAAAGGAGTATTTGTGGCACCTTAGAGACTAACCAATTTATTTGAGCATAAGCTTTCGTGAGCTACAGCTCACTTCATCGGATGCATACTGTAGAAAATACAGACAACGATTTTATACACACAAACCTTGAAAAAATGGGTGATTATCACTACAAAAGGTTTTCTCTCCTCCCACGCCACTCTCCTGCTGGTAATACTTATTATTACCAGCTTATTACCAGCAGGAGAGTGGGGTGGGGGGAGAGAAAACCTTTTGTAGTGATAATCACCCATTTTTTCATGGTTTGTGTGTATAAAATCGTTGTCTGTATTTTCTACAGTATGCATCCGATGAAGTGAGCTGTAGCTCACGAAAGCTTATGCTCAAAAAAATTGGTTAGTCTCTAAGGTGCCACAAGTACTCCTTTTCTAATTACTAATTAAGAGCTGGATTCACCAGTTCAGTTTGACTGCTTTGCCTTGCCCTGCTGATGCAAAGCAGTTGTAAATTCAACTATTGGTGCACTCTGGCTGCTTTATGCTGTTCTGGTATACCAGTGAATCTGCTGTTAAATTAAAAGTTTTTAAAAAATTTGACAGAAATATTGCATAGTATCATTCTCTCAGGTTTCTTGTTTAGTATTCATGTATGAGATTTTAAATAATTTAAAAAAAAAAACAATATTCCTAAACAGAAAACTAGATGAAAATTGATTTTTGTCTCCTTAATATGAAATGGTCTCTGTGTTTTGCGGATAAAATAAAAATTGAGACAATTTTTAGTGAGTAATGTACACTGACTTTCAGTTAAAGTTTCTAAAGGATTTTTATCACATTAACCGAGGCTTTATCTACACTGGTACTTCATCGGCAAAACTTTTGTCGTTCAGGGGTGTTACAAAAACACACCCACCCCTGCCCCCCAAATGACAAATGTTTTACCGACAAAAAGCACCTGTGTAAACAGCGTTTTGTGAGCAGGAGCTCTCTCCTGCCCATAAAGCCACTGCCGCTTGTGGGGGGTGGTGGAAGTTTCGAGAGCTCTCTCCTGCTGACAAAAAGCAGCTACACTGGGATGCCTTTTAGTGGCTCAGCTGTAGCGGCGCAGCCCTGTTACTAAAAGCCTCGTAGCGTAGCCATAGCCTTACTGAACATGATCCACAGTCAGAATTCATGTGTTGAGTGACAGTCTTTGGCCTACTAGGTTTTTTAAAAAAATCTTATTTAAAAAAGTTAAAATATAGATTTATGTGAATGCTTCAATGATGGTAGTTCTGGTTATTCATTTTCTTTAAATTATACATACTGTACATATGTATTTTCTCACTAGCACTTAGTTGCTGTATAGCTTGAGAGGAGTGATTGAAGTTACATTTGGTGAAAATAATAGTTTTCTGCAAATCAAAGTAGTTTTAGGGAATGGAATTTGTTTTTGCTTTGTTGGGTGGTGGATAATTATCCCCTGAAAAATTTATGTGAAAATTTACCAAACATAAAACAGCTTGTTCATAAACACATAGAGTAAATCATTTAAAAAAAAAAAAAAAAACCCCAACAACTTCCTAGCCAATCAGCCACCAGCAGTTGGGGGATGGACTGGCCCAGGATGTTTGACATCTTACTATTATGGTGGTAGGGAGTTAGAATTCCCTTATATGCATGAATGCATAGTAGGGATGCTAAATGAATTTTTGACCTGTCCAGTCAATTGTCTATAGTTTTACATGACTCTGTGGAAAAATGACCATTTTATGCTAGACTGTCTTCTGAAATAACTGATGCTGTATGTTACTGGAAATCTGAAACTCCCAGATTTCACAAGACAAATAACAGTTTTAGCTATTTGAGATACTGTGGTTTAAAATTAAATTCAGTTGCTGAATCAGGGCCTTTGAGGGGTAGGTGCATGCACGAAGACTAGGAGTAGGGGATAAGAAGGTTGTGTGTTTTTGCAGAGAGAATGTGTATGCTTTAGTGCATATAACATGTTTTTTCTGGTCTGTGACCTATCCAGTCAGCTCCACCAGTAATTAAATAACAGCAGAAAAATTGTATTTGCTTCTTTCTGATTGGCTTATGTACTGACAATATTACAACATGGTGCTGTTATGCATTTTCTCCATGAGAGACAGGTAGCTACTTTTGTTTTTGTTAAATTTGGTGTAATCTCAATAAGATTTACAAGTTCAGGTTTTTGCATTGTTTCTATGTAAGCATAACACTGTTACTGGCGCACATGTTCATATTCCATCAATGCTACTGTCAGATTTGAAATCACTAATAAAATTTATTTGGAAATAAACCTAAACTCATAATGAGTTACTTATGTTTCTAAAGTGTTTACTATTAAACTATTTAGTTCTTATTAAATGACTGTTTTTATTATAATTAATTATTTTACTTTCCCACTTTTACAGTTCAGTTTCACATTGCCCACTTATATGAAATCCAGGTAAGTGTTAAGCTTTTTGTACTTTTGATGAAATATAGTCAGTGTATTATATAATCAGTGTGAAATCCAGCCCACTAAGTGACACTTTTGTGAATGTAAGTTAGGCGGCACATGCTTTGTGATGTTCGCATCAACTTATGTTCATTAAGAAGATAATTATAATGGACGAACAGCTCAGGAAATGTAATTCGTTGTTGTAAGTTTGAAGTATTGCACATATAAGAGGCTGGCTAGCTATTTTTTCTTAATCTTTGTATTTGCCAGTTCCTAGATACACTGTCAGTCATTTTCAGGCAAGAACTAAACTTTAACTATTGGCTAAAATTTCTTTGTGAAATTTTAAATTGACTTTCAATACAGTAGTTCCTAAAACAGTTGCCAGATGCTCTAAGGCTCCATATGTGTGAACATAAAGAAACCTATAAATGAGGTTATTGCCAGATAAGATGAGTCGTCATCTGCAGACTGTAAAGTTATGCTGTTATCAATTCTGGGCCAAATTCTGCCCTCAGAGTTTCCTCAGTAGGCTTTTGGTAATGTATGGACAGCTTATCCACCAATTTGAATGAAGAAGCCAGGATGCAAATAAATGTAACACACTAACTATTAAGTATACCTTCAAAGTGTGGTGTAATTTGAGTGAAAACATAGTCACATAATGTGCATTGTACGCTTTCTATTGTGTATAGATATAGATACTAGTTGAAAAAAAACAAGTAAAAGATGTGTCCTGAAGAACACAGATAAATAGAAAACAAAAGCTATTGTGAACAAAATAATGCCAAGTAAATTCTGTGCTTTCCTCAACTAAAGGATAAAATAAATGTAATTTTTGTGGGTGGAGCATAAATTGACTGTTTTGTGAAAGTTAAATCATTTTTAAAAAAACATGTATATTTTGTAAATCAAACATCCAGATCCTCATATCAGGTGTCTTACGTCAGTGGTTTTCAAACTTTTTACTGAGGTGACCCACCCACGGTCCAAATTTGTGGGGGGCCAGGAGGGCAAAATTATAGACTAGGTTTGTCCTTTGCTGCTGCCACCAGTGCTGCCTTCTCACGCTGCCAAGGGAGCACTGACTACCTGCAGCAGCGTTCTCTGCCCCAGCACCGCAACGCTAATTCTGGCCTTGTGCAGAAGGCAGGCTGTCATGGAAGGTTGGTTGAGCCAAACCTGAGTGGCACTGTAGCCATGCAGATTAGGTTGCAATGTCACTCACCCAAATTTGGACCAGCTGCCCCTCTGTCATTGACTGCCTCTCCTCCGCAACAGGCCAGAATTACCATTGCAGTGCTGGGGCAGAGGTCATGGGGCAGGTCATGAAGGAGGGGCAGCCGAGCCAAACCTGAGTGGTGGTGCTGCTGCTTCTTTGTATGGCTGATGTGGAGCAACAACTATAATTTTACATTTAAAGACAGATAATTACGTCAAGAGTAAGGTGGCTTGGGTTGTTGCTCTGAAGACCAGGAGATCGTTGATCGATGTTCCATCGCTGGGTTGCTGGCATTAGTTGTGATTTCTCATTTAACAGAGTGGGCTGTGTGAAGGCTGGCATTTTCCACTCCCGAGTGGTGATATGGCGCTGTGACCCCATGCACCAGAACACAATGCCTGGAGTAGGGAGTTAGGGTCAGCCCCACGGGACAGGAGCTACCACTGTGGCGTGCGTGCAGGGTGGGCTCGCTCTCCAACCCCCACCCCACCGGGCCTGTGACCCATTAAACCTTCTCATGACCCCATCATTTGGGAGAAACAGCTTTATATAATTGGATGATGGGCATTTACTCTGAACAGTGTTTCGTCTACGCTGAATTTTCCAGTAAGGTGTGTCTGAATTTAAAGCCTTATCTCAACACAGATTAGAGCCAAGAACTTGGGCTCTGATACTAGCTGCTGTAGTTCTTACAGTGTAGATGTACTGTGACCAGCTTCAGTAGTGCTTCAAAGGGACGATCTTGTATGCTCTTATCCATTTTTGTGGCCATTCTAGGTGCATCCAAGCCAAAGTCTTTTGCCAGTCAACTATACATCTGTGTGGGATTGAGGGTTCCCATGGAACCAAAGATTCTGTTTAAAAACAACTTTTAAACAATGTGATGTTCTCCTACAGTTAACAGTGAAAACAAATATAAATAAAAGTGAAAATCACTTAATTGATTTTCATTTTCCAAGCTGAGCAAAATTCAGGAAGAAAACCAATATAAATAGCAAGAAATAGATTGGATTTTTAAAATTTTAACTTTTAATATTCTGAGTAATGTAAACAAGAACTTTGATTATAGCATGTTATTTTTAAGTTGTGTTTCTTTAAAGGTAACCTGCAAATTTAATTAATTTGATTCATTTTGCCTAACTCAGTCATTGAATTCATTTTGTGGAAAGCCTCATATAGCACAACAAAGACTATATAAGTACATTTTCAGTGCTTTTCTACAAATGCTGTGCAACATAGTATATACTTCAGTCCTTACCAAACAATTGTTTGTTTAGAATGTAAATCTGTATTCTTCCTATACAACTGCAAATTAGCTCCTACAGTGGAAAAGGCTGATTTTTCATTCTCCTAGAACTCCAATTTTGTGGCAGTTGCATGTCTTTTCCAGCAAGCCCACCTAGTTTGGTGTTAATATTGGAATAAATAACCAGAATTGGAGCTGATTACTAAGAAATACCCATTTAACCAAAATTGCAGTGGAGTTTTAGCAGTGTGGGTCATCATGTTTCAGTTTAGGTGATATCAAGAGGAATATACACATGTTTAATTGATTCTGCTTTTAATATGTGTAAGTGAAAAATGCATATATACAAGATTATAGGCTTGAGAGGTTATAGCCCAGAAGAAGGGCTATAAAAATAGAACTTGTCCATCTATACTGGAGTACAGTATTTTAGATAAATGACATACATACAAATCATTGTTTTCACCAACATAACTAGAGACAATATTGAAAAGGAGAAATGTATTATTCTGCTGTGCCAAAATTAACTAAAAATGTATAGTTTATACATGTTGCAACTTTTAAATAATGTGATACATTTAAAAATGTAATTTTTAAATCTGAAGTTTTATTCTATAAAATGCAAACTGTATGCATTTATGACGAATTACTTACGTTCAGGGCTAAGGCTTAGAGAGAGTTCTTGGATACAGCAGACACTGTTTAAATGGCAGACTGATAAATTGCATGCATACTTAGTTGGGACCAGGAAACAGATTAACTGCACTGCATTTCAGTGAGTGAGCAGTGTATAAATGGCACACTTTGTGTTTGTAAGCCTGCTTGTACTAGATAGGTATATTTCGTGGAATAAATATTTTTATTTACTTGGATCTCTAAAATATGCTAGAAAGGGTGTCAGGGAAGTTTTAGACCTTTTCTCATGCTGAGTAGCACCTTGCTCTGATGACAGGTTTCAGAGCAGCAGCCATGTTAGTCTGTATCCGCAAAAAGAAAAGGAGGACTTGTGGCACCTTAGAGACTAACAAATTTATTTGAGCATAAGCTTTCGTAGCTCACGAAAGCTTATGCTCAAATAAATTTGTTAGTCTCTAAGGTGCCACAAGTCCTCCTTCACCTTGCTCTGAGTGATTCCACTAATGTCAGTGAGATATTTTTGGAGTAAAGGTCTGTTCAATACGAGTAAAAATACCAAATCTGCCGAAATTATGAAACAAAAATTTCAGTTGTTTCAATGCCAGTAAAATTCCGCTTAATCTCCTCCCCAGTACAGTTCTTTGTTCAATTCGTGATTTTTATGTTCTAGAATGATTGCTAAATATATCACTTACCTAAATGCAGTTTTTAAAAAATATTGTATACAGCACTTGTTCCTAAAGCAAATAGTTAAATATTAATGTTTGCGAGCACAATCTCTTCCTGTAATATTTTGACAATAGATATTTTGATTCTACCGGTTTAAGAATTGCCTATTGTAATGTTATCCATGTGGGCTTCAGATATGATAATAGTGTAAACAATGGGCGAGATCCTCAGCTGTTGTAAATCAGCAAAGTTCCATTGAAGTCAGTTGAACAATACTAAATTTTATCAACTGAGACTTGGTCCAGTCGCTTTTCAGGCATTGCTCTCACATGCTGCAGTGCAACACACCTAAAATCAGTGACAAAACTGATTCTGTAGTAGCACATTTAGTTAAATTATTTTACAGTTTTTATTTTAATAATGAATCCAGTGCACTTAGCCTATTTTTAACTGTTGACAACATTATTAAATGCTGCCCAGGGTGTTAGAGTGGCGTGATATTGAAGGGTATGTGGCTGGTTGACAGGTTAAGGAATCAACCCTCTAATTCTGAATTCTAGTCTTGAGACTTTCAAGATTCATAGGCCAGAAATGGATCATTATGATTATCTAGTCTGACCCGTGTAACTCAGACTATAGAATTTCACAAGTGATGCCAGCATCAAGCCTGTTGTAACTTCTGGCTGAGCTTGAGAATATCTCCTAGAAAGTCATCCAATCTTGTTTTAAAGACTTCAAGTGATGGAGAATCCACCAAATGTCTAGGTAAGGTTTTCCAGTGGTTACCCTCACTGTTACCTTACTGTTAAAAATTCGTATTTCTACTCTGAATTTGTTTAGCTTCGACTTCCATCCACAGGATGTTGTTATGCCTTTATTTGCTGGACTAAAGAGCCTCTACTATCAGAAATCTTTTTTCTGTGTGTAGGTACTTAGAGACCTACATGCCTATGGGTGATCAAGTCACCTCTTAAACCTTCTATTTGATAAGCGAAATAGATAAGCTTCTTTAGTCTCTTACTGTAATGGTGTGTTTTCCAGACCTTGAATCATTCTTTTAGCTATTTCTCAAACCTTTCCAATTTGTCAATATCCTTTTTAAATATGGACATTAGGACACAGTATTCCAGTAATACTCTCTCACTAATGCATTGGTCACCCTGTTTAACCTTTTCACGTATTGGCATATTAGCTTATTTCTAGCACTCTGTATCTTCCCCAGTAATCCAAGATTTATTAAATATCAGTGAGTCACAGAACTCCTTCAGCCAGTTCTTTCAGAACTCTTGGGTGCAAGTTATATCTAGTCTTGCAGATTTTACAATGTTAACTTCAGTAGTTGCTGTTTAACATCCTCCTTATTTGCTACTAGAATAGAAAGTATTTCATACTCACACCTTTCAGTTATATTATCCAGTTTCTTTCCAAATATAGAACAGACATATTTATTGAACTCTTCTTCCTTTTCCTGCATCATTGACAATTTTACTATCCCTACCTAGTAACAGACCTATACCTTTGTAAGATTTCTTTTGGTCCTGATGATAAATTTTAAAAATTCCTTCGTATTGTCCTTAACCGTAATGGGCATGAATTTTTCAGATAGTTAGCTTCCCTTATCAGTTGTCTACGTTCTGTGACTGCTGAGTTAGTCATTGCTATCAACTTCCCCTTTTTCTGTTCATTCTATATTATTGCTGCTTTCACTTTCCTTCTTAACCAGACTGATATTTTAATCAAGAAAGTCCTGTCTTGTGATTGTAGAATTTGGGCTTTGGGGCATATAGCAAAGATAACAACTCCTAATAATCATTCATATTGCTTTGTTTAAATTTGAATTCCCTGTCAATTTTGCTTACAGTTGCTTTCAGCTTTATGAAATTGTCCCCTTTAAATCATCAAAGATAGAAAGATATATTTTTACTGCTCAGGACTATATTCTGTTTGCACATAATCGATGTAACTAGGTTGTGAACATTTGCATCTCGACAGTCACTAACTTTTAGTTCAGTGGTCAGTTGATCTTCCTCAGAAATTAGGTCTAATTTTGAATATCGCTAGCTAAACTGTAATATATTTTATGTAAGGAAATTATTACAATTTTTAAAAATTCCAAAAAAGTTGGATTAGTGGTAACATGAGACCTCCTGCATGTATCTCCCAGATTGAAATCAGGGAGGAGTAACTGAGGAATTAAGGCATTTAAAATAAATTTACCATTAACAATAATTACATTATATACAGTATATATAGTCACGATAACAGACACAGATTAATGCTGTCAAATAAAATTCAGCTGTTTTGAAACACTGCCCATTCAAATAGCGAAGGAAAGAGTACACAGTCTGAAAGCCTTTTTCATCACCATGGCCCTGAACCTATAAACTATTGTGATGGGTTTTCCCAGGATGCAACCTGGAACTGGGGTAGCGCTGAGCCCTCTCTTACCAACCTGGGCTCCCTCTCACACTATGATGATGTACAAGCTGCAAACCTCTCCACGTACTGCACTTACACAGACATCCACAGGCAGGGACACACGTAGTTGAATTACATGAATGCTTCTCCCGGCCACTTATGAACCAACAACAGAGAGTCTCCAGCTCCCCAGCTTAGGACCCCAGAGCTGTACCATCTTGCTCTGGTCAGAAGCCTGACCAGTGTAAGTGTTACCCAATCCACCCCTCCCTCATTGTATAGAGGACATGCACCAGCTTTTGTTCACTGTGCAGAGGTTTCCCTAGCACTTCAAGCAAAACACGCTGTTTTAGGTAAAATATAAAATAGATTTGTTAACAACAGAAAGATTTTAAGGGATTATAAGTGGTAGGCATCATGGATGGAGATGGTTACCAAAGAAAACAAAAATAGATGCACAATCTTAAATTCTATAAACTAGACAATATTTGAATCAGACAGATATTACAAGCAGGTTACAGATCTTCAATGCGTAGGTTGGAATGCTCCTTCAGCCTGGAACCACCTCCCCAGTTCAAAAGTCTTTGTCCTCCAGACATGTTTCTAGGTGTTGAGTTGTGTGTGGGAGTGAGGCCAAGTGATGATGTCACTTCCCCTCTTTTATAGCTTCTTCTAGCTTGCTGGAAAGAGACTTTGCTATGACTTGGATCAAGCAGTCTCCATTGTATACTGTTTCTAGGATAGTCCTTGAGTGTGTGGACTCCCTTTAATGGGCCATCAGCAGCATCTGGCTGCTCCATTGTTGTATCCGAAAGGCTGATTGTGGGTGTTCCCAACCTCACAACATATTTCAGTAACACACACATAGCAAAACTTTATAACTTCCCATACAGTGATAGCACATACAATCCAATAAGATATTAATGTTTAACAGATCAAGACCTCTAAAATGATACCTCACAAGGCATACTTTGTACAAAACATATCATAATTATATGACAGTGGTAAATATGAGGGCTCCAGGGTGCTGCTTTGAATTAGAGTGCCACAACTACTCAGAGGTTTGCAGCTTGAGGCCCCATGCTTCTACAGTACATATGAATTAGAAAGTGAACACGTTCATGATTCAAGCACATGTTGTATAAATAGAGGATGACAAGATAGAATATCCTAATGTTGCTAATATATTTCAGTACCTTTAGTGGCTGTGTATATTTGAAAATCAGAGCTCCCAGTATGACTGAAATCATCCTACTACTGGGCAATAAACATCTAATGCTACCTACAGCCATAAGTTATAGAAAAATAGATTTTAAAATATTGACCTTTTTTGCATCATCTACAAACTGCCTCAGTCACCAATATTAGAGCATGGCTACACTACAGCAGCCCAGCTTTGGCGGTGTAGGTGTAGCGCCATAGTGCAGACGTTTCTTACATCAGTGGAAGGGGTTTTTCCACTGATGTAGTTAATCCACCTCTGCAAGAGGCAACAGCTATGTTGACCTTGCTGCATCTTCACAGGGGGTTAGGCTGAGATAACTTCAGTGCTCAGGGTGTAGTAGCTAGGCCAATCTTATTTTTAAGTGTAAACAGGGTCTTGGTTTTTGTTTGTTTCTGTTTTGGAGTTTGTGGGAGGAATTTACAAGTTTATTGACTGCACTCTGTTACTATAGCAATGAGCTCAGTAGACACCCTGACTAAAACAGTATAGAAGTATAGGGCCAAATTTAAGAAAACCCATTTTGATATTGCAGTGACCATTGGTTTGAATATAAATGGCATGATGCATATGTAGGAAACCTGGCTAAATCACTCTTTTGCAAAAATTTTCCTCTTAATTATATTGTTTTATGTATTGACTTTATACCAACTATTATGTCTTCAGACAGGTTATTCCACTGCACTATGTATCTCCATCATTAAAGCTTTCATTGCACTGTATACAAGAAATTTTGTTGTAGATTTTCTGGGAATGCATTTGTGTGCTATCAGTGCTGTGCCACAGTTACTATTGGTAGTAGGATATAAATTTTATGAATAATCCATTTCCTTTCCTTCACCCCCCACCCCCCCTCCAGAGAAAGTATCACTCTGCAAAGGAAGCTTATGAACAACTTTTGCAGACCGAAAACCTTCCGGCACAAGTAAAGGCAACTGTCTTACAGCAATTAGGTATGTAAAAGCAAGTTTTCTTTTATTTGTATGTGTTTGGATTTGCCTCTCTAGTTGTTTTTATTTTGCTGTCTGTCTTTGCAATTAATAATAAGTGCATTCAGAAGATGCTTTTTGAAGGCTCTTTTTCCAGTGAGTCAAAAATTCACTAAATATCATACATGAGGTTTTTACCCAAGTTAGAGAGAATAACAACCATAAATAACCTCTCTACTAGTAGAAGGGAGGGGAGAGACAGATCTTAAATGAAAACTTTATAATTTGTAGGATTCTTGGATATTATAGTGATTTATACTAACAGTACATTGTGTAGTATAGGAGAGAATTTTGGTGAAAAACAGGAGCGGTTAAGCACCAGTTGCAACAAAATACTTGTTTTATTTGTAGGGAGGGTTTATAATGGAAACTGCATAAATGAGTGAAAAGAAACGTAAAAGCTGGAGTCATTTTCCATGTTTTGGAAAGTTCAGGTATCTTCTTTTAGTCTAGATTTTCTACTGGATGGGTAGAACATTCTTCATTTATCATGTAGGTTTTATAAAAATAGTTTCAAAGTATATTCACTTTAATTTTTTATTTAATACAGTGAATTCTTCATTCACTACTATCATGTTTTTATTTAATTTAATATTTTTAATATTTATTTAGTCTGCTTTCTTCAGTTTTCCTTTCCTTTTTGATAATTGACAGACAACTTCATCAAGAATTTGTCTATAATGCTTGCCTTTTGCGATGTAGATTGGTTGTGTATTGCTTGGATTTAATTTACTTAGCTTTTGATTTTCTGCATAGGAGTAAAAATAAATAAAACTTACTGAAATTTACATCTCCTATTTAAGAGCATGAATGGTAGAGACACCACAGCAGCTACAGATCAAATTGATTTGAGGAAATAATCACTAGTCCCTACTTTTGAAACCCATAAGTGGGGCATGGGGTAAGAGAAGATATTCAAATGTAGCTCAGGTTTTTTGCAGTCAAATAAGGCAATGGTCTCTCCATTTCAGTTTTTTCCCCCTAAAATATTCAGAAGTATATTTAGTATTCAGAAAATAATAGATATCCTTCATTCACAAAACACAGACATACAATGGCAATACAGATTTCCACAAACATTTAAACAATGCTTTTATACAGTATGCTAGCTTTTATAAGTAGTGAAAGCGTAGTTCGTTCTCCATAAAGACTCAGTCTCCATGAGTGATGATTATTTATGAATCACTTGTTCCCTAAAAATTATGTTGAGTGAATCTACTCAGTCTGGATAGTCGACCACATTGTGATAAAGTGGTAACTTCCTTATGGGCAAAAGGACAGAACTGCCTGAACCAAAACACTCGAGTAAAATGATATGCAGCTTATGTTTCGGACTGCCAGTCAGATGTGCTCCATCAGATCCATGGTGCTTATCACAAACATGAATGCTAGTCGACTATAATAAATCAATTCTTCCTCAGGCAGAGTATGACCCAGGTGTGTAAATAATTTGGCACTAAGGAAAAATAAAGGTAAATGTTATCTCTGCCAGAATGGTGTAAAAAGAAAGCTTATTGTATGCTGCTGGCAAAAGAAGTGAAGAACATGTTTTTATAAACATTTGTTTCTTTATGTTGAATTTTTTACTTCCTGCAAAAGACAGTTCTAGCAGCAAAAAGACTTCTTTTTTCAGCTAGGAAATGCCTCTTGAGCAAGATGCAAATTTAGATGACGACCAGTCCTCAGATATATGTTTAGCTGAGAGGGAAAAGGACTTTAGTTTGGGAGGGGAACCTTTGTATTCTGGCAGATATATGTGTGTGTGTGTGTGCACATCAAATATTTCACAGCCATCATATCCAGTCCTATGAGGTATAACGCAAAACCCATGAGTTAGTTTCTTCCATTGCTCCGTCATTCTTCATTTAATATATTTTGCTACTTGTATAGACAAATAATAATTCTTTTTAACCTCTAACCTAAAATGACATTGGTTTGTAAAATGAAATGTTGTTTTCTTTGAGATCCAGTAATCCTTTGGGTAAGAGGATTGAGTTCAATCATTTTGAATCTTTTAGACCACCCATAACCATTAGAGTTTGTGAACTTTTCCTCTCAAGGCAAACGGGTACTGGTCTGTTAAGTGCAGGAACCCAGTGTGCATGTTCAAGGGCTTTTGTCCTTTAAGGCCACGAATTCTGGGAGGTATAGTCCAGAAGGAATGATGGGGATACAGTCTCAAAGTCATATGGCTGATCATGTGAGCAAAGTAGGAAATAGAAAGCAGTCTCTATCTTCATCAGTCCGAGAAAAACACCAGGGACTGGGGAAAAGCTGGTATATGTCTCTACAGAAAATGGGAGGAGGACAGCTGCCTGGCGAAGAGCAATGGTCAAGGGTTCAGAGTGGGATTGATGGAGCTCTTTTCATAAAATGAGCTGGAACAGGAGTCAGACTAGCATCAACCTTGGTAGAGAAATACTGTGAGCCCCTGATACAAGGGAGACTGTGCAGCCCTGGGTAATGACGAGTAAGGACTATGAAGCCTTGGGGAAGGGACAAAAGCAGAGTTACAAGGGTGAAAGGCTGAATACATGTTTTAATAATAATGTAACCCGGGAGTGGAGGAATATATGGTGAAATTCAACATTGTATTTGAGAGTTTGAGTTGCTGAAGAAGCAAGGAAAACAGTGGCACAGCAGTGCAGCTAGACTGAATGGGTACAATGTAAATCTCTTACAGGGTACATTTTGACCTTGGTTCTAGAACAGCCACTGAATGCTTTGAATTTAAGAACCTCTCTATTTACCTAGCCATTATTGTTAGCAGACCCTATTTTAAAGGATACCTTTTAATTTGTTGAAAATTAGATTGTGGGATTAGTGCGTTATCACTTTTCACTGTGTTGCATAGTCCATGCCTTCGCTAGGTACTGTAGTCAAAACTTACTACCATGTTTTGGGGTTTGTTTTTGCCAGGGACCAACATCTGCCCTCCGGTACAGCAGTTGGAGTCCAGAAAAAAATCTGATTCAAACAATGTATATTTTGTATCATTGTTTTTCAACCCTCTCCTCCATTCTCTTCAGAAATGTCTCTCATAGAATCTGTTATGTCAGGAAGTTGTCATCCATGTTCAGTTGGGATCAATAGAATAGTTTCTCCAATAGGACGAAAGGAAGGGTATCTTCCTTTTTTTCCCTTATACCAATACTTTACCTTATTGTGCTTATGGGCAGAAAAGAGGCCCGGCCTCACTGATCTGTGCCATTCTGAGGGATAGGTGTTGATGTTGATTTTTTCCTCCTCCTCCCGCATGTTATCAGGAAGATAAAATGGGAAACAACCCCTATCTTAGTTGCTCCAATGTGGCTTGCAAGTTCTGGTATCCAGATCTTCTGGAACTATCATAGGAGCTTCCCTTCTTGTTATTGATGGTCACCGGTATATTTACTGAATGTTCCACTAAGGGTACAGCATGTTTTCCTGTGGTTATGCAAACTTTCATCAAGAAAGAAATAAGCTTCCATTTAGCAAGAGGATTGAGGAAATGTAGTGCATTTTTTGCAGTTTCATTCCCATTATCCTACGCTATCTCCTTTATTTCACTCAGGGTTGTCATTGGTCAGTGTACGACACCTTTCTCCACATCATACACCTATTCAGACATATTTTTTTATGATTGTCCTAATGTAAATAAATAACTCTTTCAAAAGACTAATATTTTCCACGAATTTGTAAATCTGCACGGATTTGGATCTAATTTCGAACATGATTGTTGGAGCCCACAGAAGAACATTGCTTGTATCAGATTTCTGAATTTTTTTTTCCTAGTGGCTATCTGGAGAATGAACGATCTCCAGGCTTTTAGGATTGATTCCCGTTTGCAGTATTTCATCAGGTTAAATGTGGTCCTTTTCCCACAGTAACCTCTTGTTCCCTATTTTCAACACAACTTGTAGTCCCCAAGGCATTCCCAGTGCTTCTACTGACTACAGCTGATGCATGGGAGGAACTTTTTATGGGCTGTCTAAACCAAGTGCTCCAGAATAAGTAGCTTTTTCTTCCTGACTGTCTATTATAAGAGCTTGGAAGTTTACCTTCCATTCTAGAAGATACCAGGCTAACTTTTACCTCAACACAATCTAAGACTCAGTAACTTAATTAAAAACATTTATTAAGACTATCTAGAGAAAATCACTCATATACTCTGCAGCGAAATAGGTAGGAATACTATGGGTACTGGCCAGTTGATTACTTTGCTTTACTTTGTCTAGCATGTGGAGGGGAAAGTGTGGTCATGTAATTAGATTTTATTGTTATGGATGTGCACATGGTATAACAGTTAGGGTTGTGAGTCTGATTTCTTGACTTTTGAGCACTTCCCTTTGTAACTTTTAATGTTGTTTTACTATAGGTTTTTATGAGTAACCTGTCTAACACTTAACAGATATAAGAGTGGGGTGTGTGAAGGTGTGTAAATAAAACATTTTATATAAAACAGATGTCTGTTATATGTATTATGATGTTTTGTGATAGTGCCTGAGGGCCAGGATCCCCTTATGCTGAGTACTGTACAAACACATGACAAAAAGATGGTCCCTGCCCCCCAAAAGAATTTACAATCTAAGCATTAGACAAAAAAGAAAAGAAAAAACAGACAAGTGAGGGAGCACGAGGAAACAGGAAGATAATACTGGTTAACATTCATAGATTCTAAGGCCAAAAGGACTGATTGTGATCATCTAGTGGGTCTGAACCTATTTACCATTGTGAGCTGCATATGCAGCTCTCTGTGTAATGTGGGCCACATCCACACAATATATATACACTACCTGTTGGCCCTGAGGATATCACATGGACTGCAGCTGTGTGCTGATTGGGTTGCAGTTTGAGAACCACTGAGCCAGGCTGACCTTGCGTATAACTTCCCCTAAATAATTCCTAGAGCATGTCTTTTAGAAAAAATCCAGTATTGATTTGAAAATGGACAGTAATGAAGAATTGTTCTCATGGTAAATTACTGGTTTCAGAGGAACAGCCGTGTTAGTCTGTATTCGCAAAAAGAAAAGGAGTACTTGTGGCACCTTAGAGACTAACCAATTTATTTGAGCATGAGCTTTCGTGAGCTACAGCTCACTTCATCAGATGCATACCGTGGAAACTGCAGCAGACTTTATATATACACAGAGAATATGAAACAATACCTCCTCCCACCCCACTGTCCTGCTGGTAATAGCTACACTACACTACAGTGCTAATAAACAATGGCCACATAAACACCACCCTATACCGGAAACCTACTGACCGCTATTCCTACCTGCATGCCTCCAGCTTTCACCCTGACCACACCACACGATCCATCGTCTACAGCCAAGCTCTGCAGTACAACCGCATTTGCTCCAACCCCTCAGACAGAGACAAACACCTACAAGATCTCTGTCAAGCTTTCTTACAACTACAATACCCACCTGCAGAAGTAAAGAAACAGATTGATAGAGCCAGAAGAGTTCCCAGAAGTTACCTACTACAGGACAGGCCTAACAAAGAAAATAACAGAACGCCACTAGCGGTCACCTTCAGCCCCCAACTAAAACCCCTCCAACGCATTATTAAGGATCTACAACCTATCCTAAAGGATGACCCAACACTCTCACAAGTCTTGGGAGACAGGCCAGTCCTTGCCTACAGACAGCCCCGCAACCTGAAGCAAATACTCACCAACAACCACATACCACACAACAGAACCACTAACCCAGGAACTTATCCTTGCAACAAAGCCCGTTGCCAATTGTGCCCACATATCTATTCAGGGGACACCATCACAGGGCCTAATAACATCAGCCACACTATCAGAGGCTCGTTCACCTGCACATCCACCAATGTGATATATGCCATCATGTGCCAGCAATGCCCCTCTGCCATGTACATTGGTCAAACTGGACAGTCTCTACGTAAAAGAATAAATGGACACAAATCAGATGTCAAGAATTATAACATTCATAAACCAGTCGGAGAACACTTCAATCTCTCTGGTCACGCAATCACAGACATGAAGGTCGCTATCTTAAAACAAAAAAACTTCAAATCCAGACTCCAGCGAGAAACTGCTGAATTGGAATTCATTTGCAAATTGGATACTATTAATTTAGGCTTAAATAGAGACTGGGAGTGGCTAAGTCATTATGCGAGGTAGCCTGTTTCCTCTTGTTTTTTCCTACCCCCCCCCCCCCCCAGGTGTTCTGGTTTAACTTGGATTTAAACTTGGAGAGTGGTCAGTTTAGATGAGCTATTACCAGCACGAGAGTGAGTTTGTGTGTGTATGGGGGTGGGGGGGATGTGAGAAAACCTGGATTTATGCAGGAAATAGCCCGACTTGATTATGTAAAGAGTTGTCACTTTGGATGGGCTAGCACCAGCAGGAGAGTGAATTTGTGTGGGGGGGTGGAGGGTGAGAAAACCTGGATTTGTGCTGGAAATGGCCCACCTGTTGATCACTTTAGATAAGCTATTACCAGCAGGACAGTGGGGTGGGAGGAGGTATTGTTTCATATTCTCTGTGTATATATAAAGTCTGCTGCAGTTTCCACGGTATGCATCCGATGAAGTGAGCTGTAGCTCACGAAAGCTCATGCTCAAATAAATTGGTTAGTCTCTAAGGTGCCACAAGTACTCCTTTTCTTTTTATGGTAAATTACTGTCACTGTTGAAAGTATGCCTTATTTCCACTCTGAACATCATATGCGGTGGTCTCAACACACTAGTGGCCTAGCAGTTGTCATACTTTTTGTAGGCATTACAACAAAGGAGAGTTTGAAGAAGTACAACAAAGTAGTTTTGAGAATTTTATAGGGAGCTTCTCCCATGTGTGAGGGGCAGCATGAGAGAAAGAATGAAGGTGCTTCAGGATGAATAAAAATGATTTAAAAAAAATCCGATTTTTTTATTTAAATTGGATTTTTTTGATAAAATGCTTTTTGGGGAAAAACCTATCTAAAGATAGTTTTAATTAAGATACATTATAGCACAAAGATATCTCATCATGGAGTAGGGATTATAAATTCTAATTCTATAGTATGAGACAATATATTCATGTAATCTTTAAGAAAAGTTTTGTAAATGAGTTCCAATAGTTCATGGATTAGGGACCCAAGTTTATGGGGTTCCAGGGGCTTCTGTATAGATTATTTAGGTTAATCTTGCTATCTACCCAATGGAACTCAGTGCTCAGTCTAGAAGATAGTATCAGAGATGCTTAGTTTTGCAGTTCTCAAACTGGATTTGTGTCTCCAGAGATAGCATGCTGGTTAACAGCAAAAATGTTTTAAAATAAATATATACAGGTGAGAAATAACAGACCTCAACCCTATTGTCCATCTGCAAATTTGTGTACACAGAGTCAATCCCTTACCTCTCTCTAAAAGTGCAAAGTTTCAAAAAGTTCAATGAATAGAAGATTGTAGGGGGCGGAATAGATCTGGACAAGGAGAAGAAGTCTGGAGATAAATGTGAGAAGAGAGGGAGAGGCAGTAGAAACAAAAGTGAAACTGTTTGAGCAGCATATTCCAGAAGTCTTGAGGTCTTTCTGAGTGTAGCCTTCATTAATTTGAGATCTACCATACCATTCTCTCACTAGAAGAGAGAACCTATAATGGCAGCAGGCTGTAAAAGAGACCCAGTTTGGGAATATTTTAATGAAGTTTCTTTACCTGTGGGTAAGACAGGCATATGTGCAAAATGCAAAAAGTGCAACAAAGAAATGCAAGGTCTGGTTGCCCTAATGAAACAACATCATGAGACGTGTTCCTTCTCAGGAGGAAGCTGCATTGAAGATGATGAAAGGAACATCACTTTAAAAATGTATAGTCTGTACCTTCTAAAAATGAAACCTACGTCTATCTCTGAGTTGTGAAGAATATGTATTAAGTTTATAACAACCAACAAGAATGCACTTTTATGTAGAAATCCATGATTAAATCGAGTCTTCCTGACTAGTGATTTGAATCAAATTAATTTAAATCAAATCCACCCTGAGGTGCTTGTTTGAAAATTTACAAGTCAGCAATGAAGGCTGGCATTATTGGTAGAATGGTAATAGAAGTCAAAATCTCAGCAGGATAAGAGAGATGATAGGTAGCATGGGGATAGTTCATGAAGGGCCTTGAAAATGAACACAAGTAGTCTTGTGTTGAAGGCAGTGGAGAGGAACGAGCCAGTTGGGTGCAAAGAGAGGGGTGACAAAGTCAAAGCGATGACAGGAAAATGATCTTTGCAGCAGCCTTTTGAATGAATATAAGTGGGGCAGGATTGCATTTGTAAAGGCCCGAGAAGAGCTGCAGTAGCTGAGACGTGAGATGATGTGGGGGGGGGGGGGGGGCACAGCTGAATAAGAGTTTTGGATGGGAGAGCAAAGGCCGCCTTAGATGTTCAGCTGGAAGAATCAGCCAGATTTAGAGACACTGTAGACATAAGGATCTAGCAGTAGGACCATCTCAAAGGTGAGGCCCAGGTTACGGTCCTGCATGCCAGAGGGAGAATGGTGGTATTGGCCACGGTGTCTGAGGAGAGTGTGTGGGGATAGATATATAAAACATTTAAAGAGACAAAGGGGGGGGGGGGGAGTTAAAATTTGCAGTGCATGTATTGTTTGCTTGCTAGCTTTGGTTTTTATTTTTAAATTGAAATTGTAAGAAATAAGGGTGTATTGCATAGATTCATTTCACTTTCACGTAAGAAACTGTAGCTATATAACAGAACCCTATCGCTATAAAGATTGTGGACCAGAATTTTAATTTGCATAAGCAGGCCCATAGCCTCAGAAGAGAAATCCTGTTACTAAACATTTTTCACAGATTGCTAATAAAATGGACAAAAGGATACCCAGGGGATCCACAGTAAAATTAGGGATACTTTTTGTCAAAAAAATAAAAACAAGAGAAAAAGTAAGTCTACTTAGATTAGAATTTTTCATTCCTTTCCGTATTACAGCCCTTTTCTGGGCTCAACCCTCCACAGGCTGCTCACCCCTTCCTGGGTAGGGTTGCCAACCATCCAGGATTGGCCTGGAGTCTCCAGGAAATAAAGATCAATTTTTAATTAAATGTTGTCATGTGATGAAATCTCCAGGAATACATCCAACCAAAATTGACAGCCCTATTCTTGGGTTCTGCAGGATTTTGTCCCAATCTTGTATAGAGCAATGCCTTCCAGGGCTTTTTCCCTGGAGTCCACACCCTTCTCTCCTTTGTATCAGGATGTTTCTGCACCACCTTTTCTGGTGGCAGACAAGAGAATCCCCGCCCTCTCTCTCCTTCGGGTTCCAGTCCAGGAACCCTAGGACAAGCAGCCAAGCTCCGCTCCGTCAGACTTTTGCTGCTGCATCTCTGGTCTCTCTTTGATCTGGGCCTTCTTTCAGGCCATTTCCCACAGCTCCCCCTTGGGCTTACAGTACATCTGCCTGTTTAAGCCCTTCACTCTCTAGCAACCGGAAAGGGATTGTAGGGATTCTCCTCTCCCTGCACCTTCCTTCTCATCTGGGCTTCCTCCCCACAGCTGGGACTCATCCTTAATTGGATCTGGCCCATGATGCAGATTCAACCAGGCGTGTTAATTGGACTCTCATCCCCACATTAACCCTTCCACTATCAATGTGGAGTAGATGCCCCGAACAGTGGTATGTAGTAGATTTCTTGTTTTTTTTTTTTTAAAAAGTGGGTAAATATTATCACCACTACCCTACTCCAAAATGTTAAGCAGCGCTTTTGAGAATTTGGCTTTTGTGATTTGTAACTTCTTTTGTAGGTTGGATGCATCATACCGTGGATCAGCTAGGAGACAAAGCAACCAAGGAAAGCTATGCTATTCAGTATCTTCAGAAGTCCCTTGAGGCAGATCCTAACTCTGGCCAGTCCTGGTATTTCCTTGGAAGGTGAGAGAACTGGTGGTATAGCCACTGTAATAAAGGCTGTGTCGTGTTTTTTAATAAAGCTTGTTTTGAGAGGTTGTGGTTGAATTGAAAATATTCTCTACCGTGTGAGAGCTATCCTGAAAATATCAGTTCGGGAGTAATTTTCCTTTAAAATAAATAACATCACATATTCTTAACTTAAACAAATGGGAAAAATGATGAAACTGCTGAAGTCCAGCTTTGTTATTTTGAGGGAAAATATGCTAAATTGGAAAGATATTTAAGTGAAAGTGCCTGTGCAATAAATGTTTTAATTAGAAATTTAGTAGATAATTAAATAAACTGACAGAAAATACTCTGTACACGTGTGCAAAAGTGTACATTTTTATGCCTTGAACGCAAATGCCTCAGATGTTGTCATCTAAGCTAAATGGCTGCTCTAGTCTGATACTACACTACTCACTTTTTTCTTTCTCGCCTATTGTCACATACATCTATTCTCCTCTCACTGTAAATTGCCAGCAAAAATACTTGCATTTTTCTTGCATACTTCTCCATTCTCTCACTTTTCTACTGTGAAAGTTTCTTTAAAATTTTTTCTGTACTTACAATATAGTTTGTTTTTCTGTAATATATAAGGTAAACGTTAGACTGGAATAGCTCAGATGTAGCCATTCTGACTTCCAAGATAAGTGGTCCATACTTTAATATTTAACTCTTGGCCTTGTAAGTTGGGTTTTTGGTTTTTTTTTTGTATTGTAAGTTATTTGTTGTTGTCGTCTGTGGTAAATACTGTGCATTTTATGCCCCTTCTTGTTTTTAAAAAAGATAGAAAAGTTAGGAAACTCATACTAGTTAGCAGTAACTTGAGCAATATTTAGGCTTTTAATACGTCTTATCTTCTGTAGGCCACAACCGCTTGCGTGTGACTTGATTGCACACTCTTGAGTTAGATCTCTTCCATCCAGTCAAAGAAGCTGTTACCCATATTATGGGGAAGATAGACAAATATAGTGCTTTAACTAAAATAAAATTCTTCAACTTTGATTTTCCTAGGTTTTCTAGTTGTGTGTAAATTATGTTTGAACATTCTTTACTTTTGTTATATTTGAATTATTGTGATGAACTTATTTTAAGTTTTGGTGGTAGTTGAATTTGACTATCATGATACTGATAGGATCCTTAAAATTCCTGAGAAACTGGTTTTAACACAGATGCTGGGACTTTGTTTCATTACCTTTTAGTTTAACTTATTATCTTTTGAAGGTTTTTTACTTAATCCTGGTGAATATTCATAAGTGAAGTAAAATACTGGTAGTGTTTTACTAGATTCCTTTCCTACTGTACCTAATATAATGTAAAAGAAGAACCTCTGGTTTTTTTCGTGCTTAAAGGTAGATAATTTTTGCCTTTATTTTGCTCATATTTGTCTCTATTTTTTTTACAAGAATAAATTTTCAATTATTTTTTGTGTATTCTGAAGACTTTATCTTCCCTGTTTGCCTGCAATTTAGTTCTTATGCAATGTGTGCAAAACCAAAGAAAATACTTTTCTACTTAAGTTTCAGTATCTTATTTTCTTTCTGATTATGATGGAAGCAGTCATTTTTCCTTGTAGCATAATTACAGCTCACTCTTCTTTGTGTTCTAGTGTTTCTGCTTACCATGTCATACTGCTTTTGAAAATGTTATATATACTTAGAATTCACATAATAAATTATATTAAAAAAAATACAGAACAATAAATTCAGGATTTTTCCTAAATTTGGTTCATCCTGTAGGCTAGACTGTAAAACTACACTTTTCATTGTCGTTCACCATTTTATTAAGAATGGTGTGGGAAGGGTATTTACAGTACTAACTGCATACACCCAAAGAAGACCTACAAGATAGAATGTACTTACTAAAATATTCACTGTATTTGTAGTGTCACTATATTAGTTGTCATAAATTCTCTTCTCTAGTATTTCAACTTCCCTGCCACCAAGATTTAATTTTTTTTAAATGCACACAAGTTGACTACTTGGGAACAGGCAGTTTAATTCTTCCCGTGTTGCAATCTGTATGTAAATATTTTTCCTTTTGCTCAATGAAATACCACAGGTGAAACGTGTACATTTCCAGAATGTAGTATTAATTCTGGACATTAGTATAATGTAGCATGTATTAGCACTTAAAGCAAGTTAAACTTTGCATAGCTGATGCTGAAGAATTAGTGTATTTTACAAATAAATTAGTAATAATGATTCAGAAGTTTTTATTCAGTGTCATTTTGTGTCAAACTTTCAGAAAGAGCGGTTATTTTGGATTAATGTGTATGAGTATGTATTTGCATGAATTTACTAATACCAGTCCACTCTTGGCAAACCATTCTCAATAATCACTTTAAATATTACCACAGTTCTTTCTCTCTTCTCCCAGGTGCTATTCAAGTATTGGGAAAGTTCAGGATGCCTTTATATCTTATAGGCAATCTATTGATAAATCAGAAGCAAGTGCAGATACATGGTGTTCTATAGGGTAAGAATGATGCAGGGAAAAGCAGTACAATAATTGAATTTTAGTGTATTTAAACAAAAGGTTTTTTTAACACCGTTGTGTTCTCAGTAGAACATAAAGCTCCTAATTGCTAGCTTAATATATTAATGTTCTGTCAACCATGCTATAAATACCTTGACCTTAAAGAAATATGTAGGTATTTGCTCTCTTAAATTTTAATTTGCAATATTGGTTGTACTTTTTATTTTAACTTGTCATGTTAAGGTATAAAAATGTATCATTCATGGTTGTCACAGTGAATTATGTAATGGTGTGTTCCACTTGATGTACAAAAGTTTTTCTTCTTCACTATATGAGAAATACTGAGTTTAGTGGTGGGGTATATGACTTCTTTGTGTTCAGACTTTACTAATTTTGAACTTTGCCAATCTTTTTATTCAGTGTGCTATATCAACAGCAAAATCAGCCTATGGATGCTTTACAAGCCTATATCTGTGCTGTACAATTGGACCATGGCCATGCTGCAGCCTGGATGGACTTAGGCACACTCTATGAGTCCTGCAACCAGCCTCAGGATGCCATTAAATGCTACTTAAACGCAACTAGGAGCAAAAATTGTAGTAATACCTCTGCACTTGCAGCACGGATAAAATATTTACAGGTAAAACTTTAAAGCTTTAAGGAAGGGAAATATTTTATCATGTACACAACAGAGGGGAGGGGGAAAATAACATACCAGTTAATGTTTTATTGTTTTATGGTGTTTAACCTGTTTCCATATTTATTGTAAACATATCATAGCTTGAATTATTGTTTTATTTTCCATTTTTAAGTGGGACTCAATCCCTGTAAATAATGCTGTTTTGCACATTACTCAGTTGATGCATATTGATTTACATCACTTTTTTTCTATGTACTGTCTACATTTTTAAGTTGTCATAGCATTTAGAGAGAGAGAGAACACACACACACACTATCTTTCACTCTTGTTTGCAATTTCAGAAGAAAAGAGTTACGAGACCTCTGAAACCAGAGCTCAACTTTATTCTGATTCTCACAAAGGTTTATATTCTGGTTACCCTCTTTATACTTAGCACCTTTCTAAAACCCCAGACTTTAAATCTATTCTCTCTTTAAGACGTAATTAGCTACAGCATTTAGGAAGATTTCGTGGACTTGCTCTTAATAAAGTAGGCTTGTGTTAAATTTGCTTTTTACATAATTTTTCCTAGGCTCAGTTGTGTAACCTTCCACAAGGTAGTCTACAGAATAAAACTAAATTACTTCCTAGTATTGAGGAGGCATGGAGCCTACCAATCCCCGCAGAGCTTACCTCCAGGCAGGGTGCCATGAACACAGCACAGCAGGTGAGAAGTTGGGTTATGTTCTGCAGGTGCCCAGCTTTAAGGGTTCTTTACAATCTGTAGTAGTCAAGCTTATTTTACTGAGTGCAGGGCTGGCTTTCATTAATAAAAAGCCTTTGATTTATTTGCAAAGGGATTTAGATCAAGAAAAGACTCCCTATAATGTGGGAGAAATATGGGGGTACCAATTTAGAACCTTTGTGGATTTTCATGATTTTGAGAGATTTCATCTTAAGTAGAAATGCTACAGTGGTTGTTTTTTTTTTTTTTTTAAATTAATTCCAAGAAAGGTACACATTCCTCCATTGATGACCATATGGAAACTGATTTTCAGTAACTGAGTCAGCTTCAGTATATCCACACAGCCCTTTTAAGATATGCAGATCGTAAAAGTATGTAGCTTAATTGAAAGAATTAAGAATATATAGAACCATGTTTTTGTCTTCCTTCTGTGATTCTTAGGCTTGTAAACCTCATCATCCAAATACTGAACCTGTACTAGGCCTCACTCAAACACCAATTTCACAGCAATCCTTGCCACTACACATGATTCCTTCTAGCCAAGTAGATGACCTGTCCAGTCCTGCCAAGAGGAAAAGAACATCTAGTCCAACAAAGGTATATATTCTTGTGAACTAAAGAGACCGAGCCAAAATTCTACAAAAATATGCATAGAAATTGTGCAGTATCCACAGAACTTGTACTTTAATTGTAATCCTTTGGCATTAAGATGGGGAAAGTTTTAGAAGTTCATGTGTTGAGGTTAGTGCATTTTTCAGCAGTGTATTTAATTAGGAGATTACAATTGAGATAGTAAGTACCTAAGTGCAATACACATCAGTGACACTATATATAGAAGTAATTATCCTAATCTCAGAATATAATCATAGTATTGTAATAGAGAGGGAAATGGCCATGTTGTTCTGTATATTGCCTTTGCCTATATCTAAAATTCAGGATGTTTCTTCTTCACATAATACTTTTTTAAGAGGTAGTGACTTATTTGATTTGGTTCCTTGTCATTATGGTATTAGATACTATATTGAATATCATTTACTTTTCTCTCATTGTTCTGATACTGTATAGGTTGAAGCAAAATGAGAGAAAGTATATTTTAGTATACTTGTTATATACTGTATTATTCTTAAACCTGTGGTTAGTCCTTTCATCAAGACGTTCATGTCTAGCTTTTATAAACCTAATATTTGCTCTTTTTATAGTCATATATTTAAATTTAATGTTTTTCTCAGAATACTTCAGATGCTTGGAGCAGTGGTCATACGGTGTCACATCCTCCAGTACAGCAACAAATTCATTCTTGGTGCTTGACACCACAGAAATTACAGGTAAGTGTGTTAAAAAAAACCCTGAGCAGCTTTGAGACTTTTTTTTCTTACCAGAAATATATCTGAAATGGACTCAAAGAAACTTTTCACATTTAAACTTCTGAATCAGATGGTAAATATTGAGTATACTTTGCTATAATGCTTATTGTTTGATACAAGTAGTTTTCGTGTTTATAGCTTTCCTGTGGTATGTGTGAAATCGAGCTTAAAATGAAAAACCAACAAAACCTGAGTTCCACTTTAGTGACATGGCACAAGTTGAATATTTTAATTACATAAGCACTTATAATAAATTTGTAATATGGACAGATAGAAGTAAATATTTTTTCTTGTTGTAACATTTTTTAACTTAATGTGTGAAGTAGTCATACTGTTGGATGTCAGATGAATTATACTTATGACTCGCTCTGCTGCCTAAGATTTACAAAGTGCTGCACAACTACTGCACCCCTCCCAATATCCATGTGAGTTAACTTCTTGTCAGTCAGTTCATTTGGCAAACTGATAAAATTATAAGTGAAGGACTTAAGATTATTGTATCACCAATAATGGAGAGAGTTGAAATTCAACTCTGGTGTTCATGGATTTCAGACCAGGTGGCTTCTCCAGTTGAAGTGCTGGACTTTATTTTTGAGACCTTGACTCAAATCTAGTTTGTTTTGTTACAGTATTTTCAGTTTATTCTTCAGCTCACTGACAAAGGTTGCAGTGTACCATGCCAAGCTTCAGCAGTAGCAAAAGAATGCACATTTTGAAAATCAGACCTGGGCCAAAGTCGTCACCATATATATCACAAATATTGACTAAATGCAAGGACATCAGCAGAAAAATTATTGCTCTGAGGAGGGGAAATAGATCCTGAAACTCTGGTATATTGCCCAAAGGCTGTGGGCATTATGCACAATTAACAAATATGTTTTCTACCTGAAAGACAGTCCCTTAGTTGTTGCCTCCTTAGCCAGTCAGCATTGTTTTATTATACCACTTGATTTTTCCACCTATTTGTCTCTCCTGCCTTTGTGCAATCTTTATCACTTTTTTCTCTGCTTTCTCCCATCTCTCCGACTTCTTTTTCCTTTCAGGCCTCACTAGCGTTTTGTCTTTTTTCACTTTGTTTCCTCCTCTTTAAGGGAAAGTGTTGTTACCGTCTTCACCCTATGTATGGAATAAAGGATTTGTTAACAGTCATTTAATATGGTTTCATTATCTATGAATGACAAAGCCAGAAATGAGTTATGAAGGTCATCTCACATGAAAGTGAATAAAACCTTCATTCCATCTCTGTCTTTGTATTCTGTATATGTAATGCAATTTACAGAGAAGGCATTTTAGAAATGTCTTTGTTTAAAAAAATATTATTGGTGTTATTTTTTTACATTCATCTACCTTTAAAACTAGTTTTTCTTAGTACCACGAGCTCAGCTGTACATGGAGAAAAAATAATAAATATAATAAATCCTTTTGAAATAAAACACCTAAAATGTTTTCTCTTGGTGTTTAAGCTTCTAAAATAGCTCTACTCATAAGGTTTGTGCTATTGGACAGGGAAGATCTTTGATATTTGTACGGTATAAAGCTTTCATTGCGATCTCTGATGAACAGAAGATATCAGACCATAAACCTGATACTAGTCTAGAAATTAATACTGCTTTTTCTTCACCTTAGAACAGTTTTGCGGGAGTGGGAGGTAAGGAAGCATTTCTCTATTTGTTGAGGTGTAGTGAGGTGAGAACTCAACCTAAAAGTTCTCTGTCTCACATCATGGATGATATCTACTTGTGCAGCGAGGAGAGAATCTGCTCTGGAGCTGTCGAGGCCATTTTAGTGAGTAGCAGGAAGGATTACGCTAGAGCCATCTATACAGCAACATTAAAGGTTTTCAAACTGGGCAGAATCTTGTAAATTAATCACCAAATAGCACAGGGACTAGGCATATTCTAGACTACTCGCTGGACCTGAAAACCTCTGGTCTCTGACAGCTCAGCGAGACTCTGTCTAGCATCCATTTCTGCAGTTCACCTACCAGTAGATGGGTTTCTCATTCATAGAATCATAGAATCATAGAATATAAGGGTTGGAAGGGACCCCAGAAGGTCATCTAGTCCAACCCCCTGCTCAAAGCAGGACCAATTCCCAGTTAAATCATCCCAGCCAGAATATATAATTTAACATGTGTGACAGGGTCAGGACAGATGGCTATAGGAGAGTAATCATAGAATATCAGGGTTGGAAGCGACCTCAGGAGGTCATCTAGTCCAACCCCCTGCTCAAAGCAGGACCAATCCCCAGATCCCTAAATGGCCCCCTCAAGGATTGAACTTACAACCCTGGGTTTAGCAGGCCAGTGCTCAAACCACTGAGCTATCCCTCCCCCAAAGCCCCCATTCCTTGGTGTCCAGATTTGTAAAGGGACTTGTTCATGTGCACCTTCCTATATCTGATCCATTCAGTACCTTCATGGGTATTGAATTTAGTAATTTAGGTTGATGGGTTCCCCCTTCGAACCTGTGGCATAACATCTCTACCACTGCTATAAATGTAAACAGCATTGTTGGTAGCAATTACCTCTGCAAGGGGGGTGTCAGAGCTACAGGCACTTCTAGCAGACCCTCCTTTTACAGTATTCCACATGAGGTGGCCAAGTAGTTACAGTACTTAACTACAATCCTGAAAGTTGTGTGTTCAAATCTTGCGTGATACCACACTGAAAGGCCATCTCTAGTTTACCCAGCTGCAAAATGGGTACCTGATCCATTGAGTTAGAGTAGTCAACGGCAGCTGGGTTTGATGCTGGCCACATCACTCACTTGTGTAAGGTTGGCTATGAAAGTGACGTGCCTTAACAATGTCAGCCCAATAGCCATTGTCTTGGAGGGAATTTTAACTTTGAACATTGACAAAGACATGATCTCTCTTAGGCTGCACCTTTGGTTTATGCCTTAAATGGTATTCCACCTCAACCAGACTATTTATCTTCCAGTGTTCTTTCTGAAGCCTCATTCTTCCAAGGCTGAAGAAAAGCTTCATACCGTGACTGTTAGGAGGGCTTTGGGCTCTTTACCTGGACTACACAACGTCTTTCAGATCTACTTCCCGACTCTCTCTAGCCTATGCTGAAAGTATTAAAGGGCAACTTGTTACAGCCCAGCATATCTTGCTTTGGATTTCTATCTGTATCAGTCTTTGCTGCAATCTGACAAAGGTGTCTACTCCAGCAAGGATGACAGCCCACTCCACTAGTTCTCGTTCCCCTTCACTTGTCTTTTTGAGCAACATTCCTGCAAGTGGATATTTGCAAAGCAGTAACACGGCCATCTCTGCATACTTCTCCAGACATTAAACTATTACTCAAGCTTCCAAAGATCATGCCAATTTTGGCAAGTCAGTCTTAGGGACGGGGAAAACGTTACTGCGAGCCCTGCATGTTACCAGGAAGCAGCTCGCTTTGCAAAATACTTGATCAGTTCGCTTTCCATTGCAGACCCACGAGGCTGCCTGGTAGTGTGCTTGCAGATCGGTGATCAGAAGAGAATGGGTTAACGCTGACCTGAGCTGCCATTCACAAAGATGGGGGTGGCTTCCTTTTTCAGTAGAGTGGATTGCAGATTATTAGGCTGTAGAGGACTAAAGAAGTTGTCCCATGGAATTGTGGGAAACTTCCGACGGACTCCCAGGACCCGAATCAAGCGGGGCTGTGTTTACACTGCAAAGCTATAGGACTTGGACCCTGGTTCCTAGCTTAACTCAAGCTCAGACCCTCCAGCCCTGCAGCGTCCTGGGACCCTGGGTCCAAGCCCTGGGTTCGTGCAATTGCAATGTAAACACAAGGGGGGGGGTCAGATTTGAGCACGGGCTTAAGCTCAGGCTTTCAATGGAGTATAGACATACCCTTACAGTCTCTCCAAGTAATCCAAAGTCCCACTACCTGTAAGAAAGCTGCTGGTGATTCACCAACAATGCAATGTATATGAGCACAATCACTTTTAAGGCAAAAAAAAAAAAAATGTCTACTTACCTGAACAGTAACTATTATTCTTCATGATGTGTTGTTCACGTTCACATTTCACAAGCCTCCCACTTTCTCCTCTGCTTTGGGTATTAAATTCCTTTGGTACAAAAGAATGGAGAGGGAGGTGGTCACCACTCCCCTTGGTACCCTTAGATCAGTGCAAAAGGATAACCCAGGCCCATGCGCCACCTGCTAGTACTGCTGGCAAAAGTGTCAGACTCAAGTGTATTGGGTGCACATACATCTATAGTGGAATGTATATGTGCACAACACACCTTGAAGAAGCACAGTTTCTGTACAGGTAAGTAACCAGTTTGGGACTTTTGGCTCTTGTTTTATCTAGTTTATGTTTTGAGGTATTTCTTTTCCAACATCCACTTTGTCTCATATCTTCAACAATTATGTATTAACATACAACCTGATTAGTCAACTATGGTAGCTATTCATTCTTCGTAATATATCTATGGATTTTCCTAAGAGTTAAAATATGAATACTATGTGCTCAGCAGCTTAAATGAAAATAGAGAGGACATTTCACAAACATTTTTAGCACTAAAGTAAGTGTTTATCGCCTCAGTTATAAAACTGCTCAGTCTTATATCTGTTGTTCTCTAAGGTAAAGATTGTGTATATTTGGCTCTTTCCCATTTTAGTGTGAGAGTTCACACAGAATGATTTTCTTATATAAAATGGATTGACAATTTTGAGATTTGTATCATAGTGCAAGAATAACACAGGAGAAAATTACAGAATGTGTGTTGTCAAGAGTTGTATACATTTTAAGAACTTTATGAATTTAACATTCTTTCACGGCAAAAACGTACTTTAATCATATTGAACACTTAAGAACTGTGTACAGTACTGTTTTATAACATATACTGAGATAATCAAGTCTTTTTCAGCTTAAGTAGATAAGAGATGCTTATATAGAGTTTTTAGTATAACAGTGGATTATAGAAAGGGGTTTGGTCCTTTTAGGAGCTTTTGAGCTATACTTTCTCAGTTTCAGAAGCCTTACTTGTACTGGCAGTGTTAAGTATTGTTATCAGGAAGCTTTTTAATCAGTTCTAAGTTGAATGATTCTAAATAATGCTGCAGTGTTTTTTTTTCCAGGACTTGGAACAGCTGCGTGCAAACAGAAATCTAAATCCAGCACAGAAACTTATGCTGGAACAGCTGGAGAGTCAGTTTGTCTTGATGCAGCAACACCAGCAGGTGCGAGCAGAAATATTTTTCTGATTTTCAGTACTTGCATCAGTGGCGCATTCTGTTTTCTTTTTGAACCCGAATTATTCGTATTGTATACACTTTCGTGCCCTATTTACTAGTTTACATAACATCTTCTGTTTTCTTTGACATTTCATTTACTGTGATTGATGTTTACTGGCTGAAAGACATTCATCATTAGCTGTTTTGTATTGTAGGACTACCAGAGATGATGATTAACCAATTTTTTAATTTGTTTTCTGGTCAGTTGTTTGACTGACAAAGTTTGAGAAACAGTCTAGTTACGAAATGAGCATTTGTCGTAAGTTGTCAAAAGACCTCTCATTCCTGTCTGTTGCTCACTTCTTTTATATTTGTGTGTGTCCAATTGTAAAAGCCTAATTCTATCTGTCTGTTTGTCTCTTTATGGCTTTCCTAGAAGAAAAGTCTGCCCTCAGTAACTATACCTTAAAATTCACTCACCATTTGTGAGCATGTCAGCTCTGCCATTCAGCACAAACTGGAAGGAACCTGGTTTCTAAGCTACAAAAAAAAAAAAGTTGAATAAAATTAACATAATTTCAACCAAACTTTACTTGAAACAATAGAGTAAAAATAAATTAACAGTACACAATATTTATATACAGGAACACCTGTGTTATTCGGCACTTTACAAACAGAAAAGCTCTACAAACCGGCATTTCTGATCTTCATTGAAAGTCCAGTTTATAGTCTGGTTGACATAGGGCCAGCACATTCGCTACCTGGCTCTGCGTGGCTCCCCAGAAGGGGCGACATGTCCCTGATGTTCCCAGTCTGCCCCCATCCCGCCCCATACTGAGCCCTGGCTCTGCAGCTCCCATTGGCCGGGAACCCCAGTTAATAGGAGATGCGGGGGTGGCGCCTGCAGGTGGAGGCAGCATGCAGATCTGCCTTGCTGTGCCTCCGCGTAGGAGCAGCTGGGACACGTCGCCACTTGTGAGAAGCCACCTGAGATGAGCACTGCCCTGATCCAGCACACTGCATCCCCTCCCATGCCCCAAGCCCCCTCTCACACCCAAACTCCCTCCCTCTTAGTTAATTTTTCACTTACCAGCACCCCTCCATTCTCCCAACATTCCAGATGAAAAAGCTTTTACTGTAGTCTCTTAATTATGTAATTAACTTTATTCTTTTGTCTTACTAATTTTTCATTAGATGAGGCAAACAGGAATTGCACAGGTACGATCTACTGGAATTTCTAATGGGCCAACAACTGACTCATCACTGCCTACAAACTCTGTCTCTGGTCAGCAGCCTCAGGTTGCTTTAACCAGAGTGCCTAATGTCACTCAGCATGGAATCCGTCCGGCTTGCCCTGGGCAGCCTATGGCTAATGGACCCTTTCCAGCAGGCCCAGTTCCCTGCAGCACACCAAGAACGCTGGGTAGTACAGACGCTATTTTGATAGGCAATAATCACATAACAGGAAGTGGAAGTAATGGAAATGTGCCTTACCTGCAGCGAAACGCACTCTCTCTACCTCATAACCGCACAAACCTGACCAGCAGCGCAGAGGAGCCGTGGAAAAACCAACTATCTAACTCCACTCAGGTATACAATTCACGTTATTAATCCAATAAAGTGAGCAAAGTACTGTCTAAATCACTTTTTGACATCTTTCTTTTGTAAAACACATGCTTTCTGTTTTCAAAAGTTGATTAAACATATGCAGATGATAAATCTTACAGCTGATTAAAGCTACCCATTATACGTTATTGTTAAAATAGCAGCTAAATCAGCTCCATCTCTCCCTCAAAGCCAGCTGGGGTTCGGGACGCCCTGGGCTTGGGCCAACCAGCAGCCTGGGACTTGGAGCATCTGGGGTGGACGAGCTGCTGCTTGAGCCAGCTGGCGGGCCAGGGTTTGGGCTTACTGGCAGCCCAGGACTTGGGGTGGCTGCGGCAGGCAGGCCAGGGCTCAGGGTGGCTTGGCCAGGGCTCCTCTGGCTGTGTTTGGGGCTCGAGGATCCTCTGGCTCTGGCGAGCAAGGGGCGGGTGGGGTAGGAGCGAGGCCTCAGGCAGAAGAGGCAGGGGGCTAGTCTCCCATGTGGGGGGGTTCACGCACCACCCATGAGTGAGCCGAATGTTATAGCCATTGTTGAAATTATGTTGTCATCTTATTTTAATCATTCTAAATCATTTTTGTTGAAAGGCCATAAGAAAACATCAGAAATAATATTTTACAGTAACAATCTCAGTAGAGATTTAGTACCAGTATATCTCAATCTCACAACATAGAGCATGAGGATCCTAATGTATAATTCTGATTTTTAGAGAATTTGTTTTGGGGACATGGAGGAAAAGCCTACTTTACTTGCAAACTAACAGTTTATTCACTCTCAATCCCACAAGACTTCTGTATTGAAATCAGTAAGCTGTTCTACAGGAAGACTTTCCAGACATGTAATTTTGTTTTAGTGGACAGGTGGTGTGACCAATTTCAGGAATACCTAAAACTTTAGAATTGCACTGTAGTGTGGAAACTGCTTTCTTGTTGATCAACACTGTTTATTGGTGTAAGGTTTTTAATTACAGATTATTGCAAGTTACTTAATCGAAACTCAGATAATTTTGTAGTGCTGGCTGTTTTACAGCCTGGCAGCTTCAATACGTATACAATTTCTCAAAATAAAATGAGAAAGTAGCAGGAACATCTTGTGCATTGCACAAGCAACTAGATTTGCTCTGAAGCAACTTGATAGGCTAATTGTAAAAACCTACTAGTATATTAACATTGTAACTGGGAACCAGTGTTTATAGGATTGACTTACAGTCTTATTGTCTCTTGCCCAAGTTAGACTTGGTTGGGTATGAAAAAAATGTCACTGGTACAAAATGGCTTTTCTACATCCTGTGTGAAATAAGTCTGTGGCATCAGTTCATTTCTTACTAGGTAGGTGTCTGCATAATAATTGACACCCTTGTTGATAAGCTCAGCAAAGAAGCCAAGGACCGAATTGGCCCAGAACTTGCCCTAGAGATGGTGTTTCCAAGACAAGGCTAAGAAGGATTGGTGGTTTTGTGCGGGCAAGCCTGCACTGCCACTCTCTGCTTGTATTGCAGCTATGTTGTGAATAAGTAGCTGAAGTTTCTGGGTTCTGACATTTTCCACAGGTACAAAAGTCACTTTAAAATTAAAACAATGTTAAATCAGCGATTAAGTTCTTTCTTGACATTAATGTCTAATAGATAGGAAATAATTTTTGTGCAGAAGGCAGGTATGAGGAGGGTCTTGTCTGTTTTTTGGCTAACAGAATAAAAGAGAGAACTATTTAGTTTACTTGGCTTGCCAGGTTCATAATGAACATTAAAATTTTCAAAAGGAACTAAATGATGGGAAGAATCCTTGCTACGTTAGGAACTGCTAAAATGAGCACATTTTCCTTTTCAGAATAAATGCACTTCTATAAAAAATGGTAAAAGTGTATAGAATTTTTCTACTTTCCTTGATGTTGATTCATGTTTTTAGTGATCACCTGTATATGCAGCAGCCTCATTGAAAGTAGGTCTAGTGAAATTCATGAGATGTTAACTTAAAATATTTCTCTTCTGATTTTTTGTCAATTGTCTTAGCATCATGATTTAACTCATACTAATGGTGCCAGAATCAGGTTTCACATATAAGAGTGATGTCAGTTGCTGCCATTAAAGGGTTGTTATTAGCAGTCTTTCACTAAAATTACAGACACGTGTAGGTAAGAAATTTTCACGTCGTGTGTGTTGCATAACGTGTTAAAATTGCAAAGAATAACTTTCT